TAAGACTAAAGCCAAATATATGACAATTGGATGTCTGTCCCAAACCGCGCTAAAGTGATGCGAGCTTTCTGTCCGCCACTCAACGACACGCCTCTCTCTCCGACTAAAGTCTTTTCTCCGAAAGGAAACAGTTTTAAGTCTCTATTCATCGCACAAACACTTATGACTTCTCGCCATTTCTTCGAGTCGTAAGGCTTTCCAAACATAATATTCTGTAAAATACTTGAGTTGAAAGACCACGACTCCTGTGAGGCATACGCTATACTTCCGTTCACTTCAACGGAACCCGAAGTCACTTCAATCTCATTCATCAGAGACATCAAGAATGAGCTCTAATTAGGTATACATTTTTAATTTAGATATTTTAGACATTAAATAGTGAATTAACTGTAATGTGAATTAAATACCTTTCCCGAACCAACTGGTCCTATTACAGCTAACAGTTCTCCAGGTTTTACAGTCAATGATATATTTTTAAGAGTGTCATTATTGGCATCCTATTAATTAAACATTATAAATGACTTTTTATTAATTTTTATTATAAAAATTAAATGTAAGTTAACTCACAGATATCCATTTGGCGGACATCTCGTCAACAATAATAGTATTTTCTTTGTCTTCATTTGCTGACACATTTTCGACGATTATATTAATGCCATTCGTTTGCATCGATTCCTTCTTTCCATTCTTGCCATTCATGTAATCCTTTTTGTGTTCAATGGTTTTATCTTCAATCTCGTCTAAAAGCAAGAATCTCTGAAATGATTTTAAAATGATTAAAAAAATGATTAATTTTAATTCAATTTTTAATATTACTGTAATACTTGAACTAAACAGAAGATCTATAAAGATAACAAACCTGAACGCGTCCGCAGGAAACATATATTTCAGCGGACAATGCAATGGAGTTTGGGAATAGCCAGGTCATGGTATGACGGAGTGTGTTGAATATAGACATCGTTACGAACACTACTTCTGCCTCCAAATGATAGCCGCGGAAGACATACACAATGAATATCGTGAAGAGTATGACTCGAGCGGCGATTATAGAGATGGAAATGTTGAGAGCTCTGAGAAGGGTGGCCTGTCTTATTTTGGACATCTCTTTCCTGTCAATTCACGTGAAATGTAATAAATAATCGACATTAATTGACATAAGGACTGACCTCCTGGCCTCGGATATCATTTTTGAAAAGTGCTTCTCCCAGGCGTACATTTTGATCACTTGCATGCCTTTTATAATTTCATTCATCAGACGAATCCTATTGTCTGAAAGGGCGGCCACTTTTGTCCTGAGGAATTGGAAACAAATTAGAAATATTAGTTAATATCAATTAATTGTGAATTAAAATGCATATATGGATACAATATATGTAAACCTAATTTTCAAAAACAGTCGCCCAATAAGACTGTTAAACGGAATAAATAACAAAAGTATTGCGAGTCCTATAAAACAGACCCATCCTATATACAGCCAACAGATATATAACCCGATAATGGTCTGAATCGGTGCCACAATAATATACGAACCAATTATACAAAACTATAGAATAGATGGTATGCAATGCCAATCGATAGTCATATATAAGTCCCATCCAATTCATTTATCATATATTGTTTAAATAGTTTTTGTGTGTTTTACAAATACCTCATCAAATCTGCTGACATCGTTAGACATTAAGTTCAATATCTGACCGATTGTTGTCTTTCCAAACGCCGATGGCTTTAGTTTTATAGCCTTTGTTTGTCAACATTTTTATTCAAGAATATATTTTGTTAGAATTTTATTCTCGGAATTTAAACAAGTTGGTTTGGTACCTTTTTATACATAAGTGTACACCAGGTGACCCTGAGCTTAGTGGCCACTCTGACTGCTAGCAGACACGCCGGATGATGGCATGTGGTGTATAGTAAGGAGGCGCCCACCACTCCACCCGCGCACAGACAGGCCATGCCGTAGTCTATTGTACTGTTTTTAGCAAAATATCGGATCACAATACCCAACATAAGGGGTTGTACATTCTTCAGGAAACATTCCTACATTTGTTATAATTCAGTGTTTTGAAAATGTGTTATAAATACATTTCATTTCATTTAGACTTGATGATGTAAGTTAATGAATTTCTATAAATACTGATTCTATAATTACCTCAAAGAAAAATAGTGAAAACGGTGGTAACATTTGCAATATGAAAGTCTTGAGGTTAGCCCTCAAGAAACTGGGATTCCTTTTCTTTAATTCCTTACTCCAATTCCTAATAACATAAATGTAATAAAATATCTGTATTATGCAAAACATAACGATTATAAATGAATTTGAGAAATACCTCTCTAATGTCAAAACCAATTCTTCGGATTCATCAGAATTGGGACATTTGTATAAATCATTGATTCCCACCTCCTTCTTGAGACCCCTCACGAACATCGAGTAAATCCATCTAAACAGTTAAATAAATTAAAGATTTTAATACTTATATAATTAAATAAATGATATAAAACTTACATGCAATAAGCTTTGTTCAAAATATTGACCCGGTCAAACTTAGATGGTTTTTTAATAAGCTGTTCCTCATCCATGTTTGCATTCAATTTTTATTCAAATATAACAGAATTGTGTGCAACAGTCAGACACTAAGTGTGTCAATGAGATAAATATCAATTAAAGAATTACTTTTATTTTAAATACTTTTTACACCAATAAAAAGTACCATAAAAATTATAATTAATTATTAAACAATAAAAGTATGTAATGATATTAATTGACTGGCAATTCAAAACATGAGCGCACACTGTATTCAAGTCGTAGAATATTGAGTGTCATGTGCCTCCCTGTCCTCTAAAGTAATGCACTGAATATAATACAGAATAGTAAATATGAAATGAAATAACTCTTTAGATTTAGTGATGATTTAAAGATATTTATTAGATCTGAGTCTCGAGAACTTTCGATCCTAATCGGAGCCTTCGTCAGGAGTTATTACAAAATAATGATAAAAATGAATTAAAACTTTTCAAAAAATAATACAGAATATTTTAGTTCAAATATGAGAATTTCCTTATATAAAATCCTTTATATAACAATTTTTATATACATTGCAAAATAAAAAATAACACTTTATGTAATTATTCCTTTAAGTCTGTTACAGACTCTCACTACGCAAGTCTTGCCTCTATTTGGTTAGCATTTATAAGTTATAATAATCCTATTTATATTCATCGATTATTATAGTATAGTCTCAAACACAGAATCGATTTGAGTGCTTATAATAAGCCTTGAAATGGTAAAAATAACTTATTATTAATTAAATATTCAACAGCACTTCTATTTGCTTTAACCACATGTTAGTGTTGCATAAATTCTTATGTAACAAATGAGCAATCATTATTGTTATTGAGTTAAAATTTATCATTAGCTCATAGTAAAGTGGTCGCTGAATTTGTGCCTGGTGATCTATAAAAATATTTCAAACAATAGTGGCAATCAAATACGAATAATTTTCGTTGTATTATTTAACAATTGTTTCAAAAATATTCCACATATGAAAAATGAGCAAATATTTATTATAATATGCTTATCATTAAGCAATTAATTTTAACAATTTTGTGTCATTGAGTGGTACATAAAATATAGTGATAGAAACGATTTGTAAGCGATTTACAGTAGTTATTTAAAGTTCAAAAACTTTAGGTATACATGATATTGATATCTTAAGATAATTGTGCGGTTAGTACTGGTTGTCGCGTTTGATGTGTCGGTGATATGCACTTAATGACCGTTTCATAAAAATATTTTATTAGCTATCAAAATAAAAACAGTTTTGAATCTTATGTACAAATAAATGATCAAAAGATTTTATTATATAATTAATGATAAATATATGGAATTTAAATAAGGATTAGAAAAATACTTGGAATTGAATACTATTGAGAAATGAATAGGATATGAATCAGTGGTCATAAATGGCGATATAAGGAGATGGATGATTTAACAATTATGAAGTGTTTAATACTTAAATGATCTCAAATCCTGATGTTATCTTTAATGGTGTCTTCAATGGAGTGCTTTTCCGATGTCTTATCGAAGGCCTCTTTGGCAGCTCTGAACAGATCGCTGGCCATCGCTATACCCGTCTGTTTGACTAACTTATAGAACATTCCGGTGTTGTTCTGCAGCAGAAGGTAAGGTCTGTCAAACTCTATGACTCTTCCGGCGTCTAAAACCAGAACTCTATCGGAATCGATGATTGTGTTCAGTCTGTGGGCTATTGTAATGACAGTACAGTCGGCAAAGTTTTCTCGTATAGTCCTCTGAATCAGAGAATCTGTTTTGTGGTCCACATTAGCCGTCGCCTCGTCCAACACGAGGATCCGATTGCGTCGGAGTATAGCCCGCGCCAGACATATGAGTTGTCTTTGACCGACACTCAGATTCCCACCACTTTCTGACAACTGGTAATCTAGACGTCCGGGCATTTCATTCACCGCTTCCTTCAGCTGAACCTCTGCTAACACATCCCATATCTTGTCCTCCGAGTGCTCGTCAAACGGATCCAAATTCTTGCGAAGAGATCCGATGAAAGCGATCGGATCCTGAGGAATGATTGACATCTTTTTGCGCAAATCGTGAAGACCTATACTCTTGCAGTCGATACCATCGATGATAATATTGCCTTCGATTTCATGCATCCGGAAGAGCGCCGCCAATATAGAGCTCTTTCCGGCTCCGGTCCGGCCGACGACTCCTACCTTCTCTCCGCCTCTTATAATGCAATTCAGATTAATTAGAGTCGGTTTCGGACTGTTTTCATAAGTCAGGTAAACGTCTTTCAGTTGAATCCTCCCTTCTTGTGGCCAATCGAGAGCTGGTTTTGTGACGCTTTCGAGTTCGGCCTCAGATGTGAGTCGACTGTATTCGAGGATCCGTTCAACAGATGTCATCTGATTCTCCACTTCAGCTGACTGTCTGACCCCCCACTGAGTCATTCCCGTTAAACCTAATGCCATAGTAAATGCAAGACCAGCACTACCTCCGGGAAGCCCTTTAAGAAAATATAGGATAATAGAAAAGTTTACTTTAAGTTCTATCTGAATATTTTTTGAATTATATCAATCATACCCTCATGGAATAACATTAGAAATAATGCCACAAAGAAAATGTATAGCATACAGAGCCAGTCCATCACTATTCCTATAATTATCATATATTACAGAATGTTTAGTACATATCATACAAAATTAATTCCTAAGTATGCGAACCGAGAGCTCTGGAGGCACTGAAACACATGAAGTATGTGGACGTGTGGTCATTCTGGTACCGGTAGTACTGCTGCATAAACATGTGCTGAGCTTTAAAGGCACGAATCGTTGCCAAACCATTCAATGTTGTGGTCATGTGGTTATACATTGGACTTCGAGCTATTGATGATATCCGGATAAATTTAATAGATATAATAAATATATCCAGTACGAAATAAAATGCTTACCCATATTTTCGTAACGTTTTAAATCTCTTCCAGTTTTTATATAAAGCCATCGAATTTGCAGAATAAAGAATATTAAGACCAGAGCTGGGAATATGAGGTACCAATTGACCAAGGCCACTACAATTATTGTACCGATCAGCTGGGTCACAATCTGTTGAATATACCAAACAATTATAGTAAAATTAATTCCTGATCATAATTCTCTGTGTATTCAATCCCTACAATATTCAAGTCATATGAACACAACGGCAATTGTTCGTCAACTATTCCGACATCTTTTGTAAATCGATTCAGAATTCGGCCTAAAATTCAAATTATTGGCAAACAATTCTTAATTAAATGTTTCTTTTAATATGAATACAATATATCCTTTAATACAGACCAACGGGATTGTTGTCAAAGAAAGCGATCGGAGCCCTCATTAGTCTGTAAAATATGCTGTTATGGAGATTGACTGACGCTATGACACACATCATGAAGAAAGTTCCCGATCGGATGATTAGGGTTACGAAAGTCGTGGCCACTAATACTGAGTATATGATTATGTTATTCGTCTGATCGTATTCTAGCGATATATTCCTGGCGTCCTCTGCATTAGTCCTGTCATTCATATAAATTATCAAATTGTTTATTAATTTTTATATTTAAATTTCAAATACCAGTCCGAAAGCCAGATATCGCTGTAATGGAAGAGTCCCTGAGATATGAGTGTTGAGAGGATAGCCATCGTCAATAGGACAGGTCCGGCACCCGCTCTGATATAATCGGCGTAAACCTTGGCGTCTATAGAACCCGAGGCTTTGGTTTCGTCCTCTAATTTAGGAGCACTTACTTCAACGTCAACCTATGGTTTGAGTTATTAATTATTAGTATAGAAAGAGTTAGAAAATTAATTATTTGTTTTAAATATACATCAGATTTAGTGGAAAGTGTGCTAATAGTCCGCTTTCTAGCAATTATTTGTTCGGCTATTAATAACTCTTCACTTTTTGACTCCTCTTTCTTCTTCTCATTTTCTGTTTTCTCTTCACTTATTAAAGACATGAAATCAATCCCAGAGTTATTCAGTTCATCATACGATCCAAAAGCGAGGGGTCGGCCGTCTTTGAGCACAAGAATTTTTGTGGCCTTTTTGATGAATTGGATTTGATGTGTGACTAAAACTACAGTTTTTGATTTCAGATAATCTGTTATACATCTGTCAAGGGAACAAATTAATTCTTTAGTAGAAATAAGTTTTATAATAAATACTGAAATGCTTTACTTCTCAAAGATATGTTTAGCGACTTCAGAGTCGACAGCACTTAACGGGTCGTCCAATAAATAAATGTCGGCGTCGTTATAGAGAGCACTGGAATTGGGATTAAAAGCACAAATAAGACTAAAGCCAAATATATGACAATTGGATGTCTGTCCCAAACCGCGCTAAAGTGATGCGAGCTTTCTGTCCGCCACTCAACGACACGCCTCTCTCTCCGACTAAAGTCTTTTCTCCGAAAGGAAACAGTTTTAAGTCTCTATTCATCGCACAAACACTTATGACTTCTCGCCATTTCTTCGAGTCGTAAGGCTTTCCAAACATAATATTCTGTAAAATACTTGAGTTGAAAGACCACGACTCCTGTGAGGCATACGCTATACTTCCGTTCACTTCAACGGAACCCGAAGTCACTTCAATCTCATTCATCAGAGACATTAAGAATGAGCTCTAATATGAGATATCAATAATTTATTTAGTTTTGTGGTAAAGTTTCAATTAGCAATAATTTAATTGCAATGACAGTAACATACCTTTCCCGAACCAACTGGTCCTATTACAGCTAATAATTCTCCTGGATTTACACTACATGTTATGTTTTTTAAAGTAGACATCTCAACATCCTGTAAATTAAATTAAACAAAATTATTACTATATTCTTATTCCTCTTGAGCTACCCGTCCACTCACAGGATTCCATTTGGCGGACATTTCATCGACTCTAATACTAATATCCTTTGGATCAACTTTAGCATCAATTGTCTCCATATTATTCAAATAGATATTCATATTATTCTTGTTTTTCTCATTTACGAAATCATTGTCTTTATATTCAATGCTTTGATTCTCAATTTCTTCCAAAAGCAAAAATCTCTGTAAAAGTTATTATTGAATTTCAATCAAATAAGTCTCAATGAATACCTGCACTCTTTGACACGACACGTATATCTCGGCGGCCAATGCGATGGACTGTGGGAAGAACCAGGTCATTGTGTTTCTGATTGTGTTGAATATAGACATTGTCACGAATACTGTCTCTGCCTTCAGTTGTCCGCCCAAAAGCACATACACTATGAATATGGCAAACAGTATGACTCGAGCGGCGATTATAGAGATGGAGATATTAAGAGCTCTCAATAGTGTGGACCCTCTGATCTTGGCCATCTCTTTCCTGGAAATTATTTTTATAAAATACTTAATTAACTGAATTCAGTAAACATATCATTTAATATACTTTCGGGCTTCGGATATGAGTTTAGAAAAGTGTTTCTCCCAGGCGTACATCTTTATGACTGCCATCCCTTTAATGATTTCATTCATCAAACGAATCCTATTATCTGAAAGTGCGGCCACTAAATTGTCTCCATATTATTCAAATAGATATTCATATTATTCTTGTTTTTCTCATTTACGAAATCATTGTCTTTATATTCAATGCTTTGATTCTCAATTTCTTCCAAAAGCAAAAATCTCTGTAAAAGTTATTATTGAATTTCAATCAAATAAGTCTCAATGAATACCTGCACTCTTTGACACGACACGTATATTTCGGCGGCCAATGCGATGGACTGTGGGAAGAACCAGGTCATTGTGTTTCTGATTGTGTTGAATATAGACATTGTCACGAATACTGTCTCTGCCTTCAGTTGTCCGCCCAAAAGCACATACACTATAAATATGGCAAACAGTATGACTCGAGCGGCGATTATAGAGATGGAAATATTAAGAGCTCTCAATAGTGTGGATCCTCTGATCTTGGCCATCTCTTTCCTGCAAATTATTTTTATAAAATAGTTAATTAACTGAATTGAGTACAGATATCATTGAATATACTTTCGGGCTTCGGATATGAGTTTAGAAAAGTGTTTCTCCCAGGCGTACATCTTTATGACTGCCATCCCTTTAATGATTTCATTCATCAAACGAATCCTATTATCTGAAAGTGCGGCCACTTTTGTCCTAAAATTTGGTAAACATATTAAGAATTACTTCTAAAATCATATTATAATGTTTTACAATTACCTAATTTTCAAGAATAATCGTCCGACTAAACTGTTGAACGGAATAAATAACAGGAGGACACCCAGTCCTATGAAACACGTCCAACCGATATAAGTATAACAAATATAAATTCCTATTAGTGTCTGGAGTGGTGCTATAAACATGTAGGTGCCCAAAATGCAGTACTGTTTCATGAATGAATAATTGAGTAAATAATTCTAAACTCTTATGATGTGTTGAATACCTCATCAAATCTGCTGACATCGTTAGACATTAAGTTTAATATCTGTCCGATTGTTGTCTTTCCAAATGCCGACGGTTTTAATTTCAATGCCTTTAAAATTATTCATTCATTAATTGACTACAGAATACCTCATCAAATCTGCTGACATCGTTAGACATTAAGTTTAATATCTGTCCGATTGTTGTCTTTCCAAATGCCGACGGTTTTAATTTCAATGCCTTTAAAATTATTCATTCATTAATTGACTACCTTTTGCAACTTATTTACAAATTTTTATTTTGTTATGCAAACCTTTTTATACATAAGTGTACACCAGGTAACCCTTGCTTTGGTAGCAACCCTGCATTCCCGTACGGCAGCAGGGTGATATGTGAGCACATATGCCAGAGATGTACCCACAACACCCCCGGCGCACAAACACGCCATTTCGTAATCATTATTATCCGGGTCAGCAAAATACCGGATAACCCACCCGAGTAAAAGGGGCTGGACTATTTTCAAAAAACATTCCTATGAATACAAAAAATACTTTTAATTATATTATGAAATATTATATAAATATATGATTATAAATGTACAGATAAACTGATACTAATGTTATAAATGTTGAAAATAATACTAATAAAAGTACTTTACGCACTCAAAAATTCAAGTAAGTTCAGTTTTAGTACATTATTAATAAAATAAAATTATAAAACCTTATCTAGAATACCTCATCAAATCTGCTGACATCGTTAGACATTAAGTTTAATATCTGTCCGATTGTTGTCTTTCCAAATGCCGACGGTTTTAATTTCAATGCCTTTAAAATTATTCATTCATTAATTGACTACTTTTTGCAACTTATTTACAAACTTTTATTTTGTTATTGCAAACCTTTTTATACATAAGTGTACACCAGGTAACCCTTGCTTTTGTAGCAACCCTGCATTCCCGTACGGCAGCAGGGTGATATGTGAGCACATATGCCAGAGATGTACCCACAACACCCCCGGCGCACAAACACGCCGTTTCGTAATCATTATTATCCGGGTCAGCAAAATACCGGATAACCCACCCGAGTAAAAGGGGCTGGACTATTTTCAAAAAACATTCCTATGAATACAAAAATACTTTTAATTATATTATGAAATATTATATAAATATATGATTATAAATGTATTCTATTTGACTATGATTACAATATTTACAACTTTTATTATGATTATTTTCATGAAATGCGTGAGTTTTTAAGTTCATTCAAGTCAAAATCATGTAATAATTATTTTATTTTAATATTTTGGAATAGAATTGTGTAATTATTAAACAATATTTGTATTGTAAATTAGAGTTACTAAGTGTAAAGTAAAACATACCCCAAATAGGATTAGACAGAAAGGAATTAGCATTTGAAATGCAAATGTTTTAATAGTTGCCAAGGTGAAACTCGGATTCTTTTTTCGCAATTCTTTATTCCAATTTCTGACAATTTTAATATAGTAAACATTATAATTTTAATAATAGTAAATAATTTTAATGATTTAGTAGTCAACTAACCTCTCAAGCGTTTGTACGAGTTGTTCCGACTCATCATTTTTGGGACATTTATATATATCAGTGATTTCTACTTCTTTTTTGAGACCTCTAATAAAAGTCTGATATATCCATCTGAATATGAAATTAATATTATCAAATTAGCAATTAAATTATTTGTAATATATTACATTGGTGACTTACATGCAATATGCTCTACTTATGAAATTAGTCCGGTCAAACCGGGAGGGCTTCTTAATCAACTGCTCCTCGTCCATCCCTTACTAATAAGTTACACACAAATTGTTTTAAATGTTTAAAACAATTCCTTAAAACTAAATTCAGAATTGAAAGAAAAATTATAAAAATTTTATGTAAAATTTTGTATTAAATACCAGTTTCAAAAATAATAAAATTTTAATTGCATCATAAATTAAGTGATAACATGCAACTTATGGATAATTATTGCACTGAATGATGAAATATATTATACAGTAACAATTTTACCAGTTTTATATTTAACATATAAATGCCTAGTCTGTGACAATGATTTTATATATCTATGACAAGACAATTAAATTTATGAGTTTTATGAGACATAACTTATCATTTATATATTGTATGATTAGTGAATTCAACGAAAAATATCATATGAATTAGTACTTAAGGAGCATTTGTACGAAATAATTTAGTAATAAAAGTTTTGAATACATGTTATATGAATTGCACTTAAGATATTTGTTTATTATATAATAAATAATTTACAATTTCTTTTTTGTAAAAAACAAATTATTCTGCAAATTTTATGTGTTGAATAGCAACATTTAAATTATTTAAAATTGTATTAAATTGATTTATTTTAATTACATGATTGATTATTAATTATATTATTAAATTATCTCTAAATAAATAAATATAATTAACTAACAATAAGTCTTGTAAGTCTTATATCATAATTTAGCATTTGAAAAGTCAATACAGAATAGTATTAATTATTAAATTGTTTACCTTATATGATACCGTTAATTATTATATTACAAAGAATATTAAGTTTACAATTTCTATTAGATTATTAATATTAAGATATTATATAAAAATATATATAAGCTAACTCTAAGTTTGATTATCATATTTGATTTAATAAGATAATGTTCATAATTTTTATATAATTTTTATTTATGTAATTATATTAGTGATAGAAGTACAGTACAAGTGGCCAGAATACCAAATGTGAAAATTTTATTATTATTATAAAGTTGTAAATAGCAAATCTTTGTTATAACAAAACGATAAAACATTTAAAGATGTTATTGATATGTACAAACCGGTACACACTTTATTAAACTGTACTTGGCATTATTTGAACGTAATTTTGACAATTTTATTATATTCTTAGTTTATTAAATCAATATTTGTCTTTCCCCCGCACAAAATGTTACAAACAATCAGTCTATTGAAATGATTAAAGTAATAGTAGTTTTTTATAATAAATATTATCTAAATACATTCCATACATATGATGAGTACAATTCTTAGTTGTCAGTAATTTACAATTTATAAAATTAAGAATATAATATATTATACATAAATTAATATTGTCATCCAAAACTTTTAAATGCTTATTTATGTAATTGAAATAATAAGTCTCGATTGTATACTATGATCATTACAAATGTCTTTTAAACATAAATCAATTTATAAGAGTGGGTAATAAAACAGCCGGTTAATAAGAGTTACTTTAGATAACTTATTGATTTATACATCCTTGTCGGTCGTTTGTGATTTTACTGATTTTATAGTTGTTTTTAGAGAAAATGTTCATTATAATCCATATCTGATAGTTTAAAAGTATGAAAACTAGCCATTTAGTCGGTGGTATGTACTTTTGTCAGTTAACATGTTCAATCGTCACATTTATCTTTTGTATGACTTGAAAATAATTAGGTCTCAAAGTTTATAAACTTAATTCATGTAATATTTTGTTGTGTAACATAAATATTAAATTATTTGAAGAAAACTTATTAATATTATATGAGGTTATTAAATTGTAATCATAGCTATTACAGAAATTTATCAGACATTGTTTACAACGATAAACACTGCACATGAGATGCAGTTACACCACCAAGGACAACCGTATATTTGAATATTTGACAAAATGTTGTGAAACTATATAAAGAATTTCTAAATATAAATATAAACATCTCTACTTTTAATAGCAGTTTTAAATTATTGTTTTTAAAACTTATATCTAAACAATGTCTTATGAAGCTATAAATTAGATATATTGAATGTATCTATCATATAACTGTCAATTTTTTAAATTATTAGCTTTTATTGTATATTTCTTATTCTGTTAAATTTTGAGAATTTAATTTTCTAATTTTTTATATCTCTTTAAATACAGTTATTAGGAATTTCTAATTTTCAGGTAAAGGATTTACAGTAATTCAAAATTACAATAAAACTTGTTACTTGTATATACAGTATTTAAATCAACCTTCATTCACAAGCAGATTTTTTTGTAAAATTTAATTAATTAAAAAAATTTTAATTAAAACTTAAGGAAAATATTTTTAAATTCATTTTAAAATTTATGACATCTGCATTGCCAGGAAATTTATGTAAAAATATGTTAATAATAAAATAAATTAATTTAACAAACTTAAATACGTATATTGGGATATCACTTTATTAATCTCATACCAAAATAAAACTTAATTAAAACTATTAATAAATTATTTAAAAGTTTAACTTTCCATGTGATTAAACAAATTGTAAAAAGCGGTTAAACTTTTTTGTCACATAAGATAAACTGAAAAATATATAAATATAAATACGTTTATAATTTCCATTTCAATAAAACAAATAATTTTTTATTTATTGAGTAAATGTTTAATTTTATTTGTTAAATACAAAACTAATAAAATAGTTTTTTGTACAAAATGTTTACATATAATATACAATAGAAAAGTGTCTTGAACACTTATTGAAATGTTTTGAATAAACATGAAATTAATACATTAAACTGAATTTGTGACACTTCTTGATGAAACTTTCGCTCGAAGTAATCAATACGAGAACACCTAAGCAAAGGGTGCCATAAGTGAGCATTTGATTCATCAATTGATTGGGTACTCGAGCACCTGTGCCCTCGTCTGAGGTGGTTATGTGAAATCTCGTTAAGACAATGAAAATGAACGTACAATAAGTGATCGCAAAGACGATGATTGTGGTCATATCAAAGAGTATATCATTGAAGTGCGAGATTAGGATTTCGATCAGTTTAGCCACCGTTGGCATACATGTGGGCCATAGTCTATATGTGGACTGACATACATTACAGGTGTCGGTGTATTGGAGCCATTGGAGCAAACAGGCCTTATGTACGAAAGCTCCAGTTCCCCGACAATTACACGGACACACCATTTGGTTGACTGAATCCGTTTCCAAACAAAAGCGACAACTTATGGACATTATATTCGTATTGCTTTCCAATATATAACAATATCTCTACAAAAGTAATTCATTAATTAGTTTTATTATTCATTTCATTTCGTGAATATAATAATATTTAATGTTATCCTTACCTTCAAAAAGTGGTTTTATATAAACATTTCTGTGAAATACAACGAATCACTTGTTTATCAAGTTTTATGAAATGAATTTTCTTATAAACGTTTCCCGTTTCAGTGAAACTTAATTCAATAATTAAAACATTAATTTATAGCTCTACATACACTCGTTATTGCGTCCACAGCAATAAGTAAATGTTATAATTATTCATGTCATACATCAGCAGTTGCAAATACAAAATTAAATGATTATTATTATATTTAATAAATTAAATATCATTCGGTATGCTTTAGATAAACATCATTTTACGTAAATGTGGTTTAACCGTTATATCATATATTATTATCGTCTTATATGATGTAAATAAAAATACATATTGATATTTGTGCAGTTATTGACATTAATATACTATAAGTTAATACTTTATTTGATCAATGCAATAGATAGTATTTAATTGATAATCTGTAAATCAATAATAAAGTGCAATTACTTATAATGTAGCATGATTTTAAATCCTTAATTAAAAATATTTATTATAATTAAATATTAACAAAATCCACACCAAAATGCTCAGGAATAATGAAATTTCTATATCTAGCACTGTTAGGAATCAAGCATTTTATACACACTTTTCATACATATCCTTAAGTTTTCAAATTATTTATAACCAGAGTAATCAAATGGATATTTTTTAAGTAATACGGATATAACAATTATATATTCCCTGAGCATTTGGTTAATATTTAATAACAATAAATATTTTAATTAAGGATTTAAATCGTGTTTTATAAGTAATTGCATGTTATAATCAATAAATGTAAAGTTGATTAACCCAAAAAAACTAATCTCAAGTTATATCATGCAAATTTTATTTAATTAATGACATAACAGGAGTTACATTTAAAATGCTTATATGATATGTAAAATTAATAATCTTTATTAAAATATATTTTTAGCTAATAACGCATTTACCGTTATTGTAATACAATATCAAGTGACTATTAATTCATATTACGTTATAATATAATTCTGTTTAGAGTTTTGTATCTAATTTTAGTAACTGTGATACTTGATATATAATATTTAAAATAAATTGTTTTTTATTAGTAAGTTATTTATTAGTTGTTTTATGGCATAGTGTTTGCCATAATTGTTACTATTAATCAATTATTATGAATTCATTCAGAATATTCTGTATATTCAATAAACTGGTATCATATCAATTGTAAGCTATACTAGTTATATAAAAAATTACTTATGATATAATTGAAGTCCTAACAAATAGTGAATAAAATATTCATAACTATTATACAATGAATTGCTGACAAGTGACAGAATATACAGAATAATGCAATTCATTATTCATTCAACTTTTATAACACAGATTCTGTCAACTATTTGATGCACCAATGCTTACAAACCGCACAGTATTACAAAAACATGATAACTAGAGATAATGTTTGTCACGCTATTAGACTACATGAGTAATGCTATATCCATTCACTACATGATTATAAAAGTACTAAATGTGTGTCCATTGAGATGCCATTCATTGACTTGATTCAAGTGAAGTGCTTCTGACGTAACGAGTGGTGAGTTTTGTTGACATTTAGTGTAAGCCATCACTCATTCACACAATTGTTGTCCTAATTATCACTTAATTATCAACTCTTTGACCACTCAGTCAACCATACAATCACTC